CCAAAAATGTAGCGAGCTTTCTGGCGGCGGGGACCGATTCGGGCTAATTGAACTCGTGTAATGTTGTGTTGTATGTAAAGTATATTGTTGGTTTTTGGAAACCGTAAAAATAAATTATAAGAAATGCGGTGAACGAACTACATTTTCGAGAGATGTCGATCTCAAAATTTTTGAAAATCTCGATCCAATTACCGATGAACAAGAAATACAGTCAGTTGTATACGACTTTATGGCTTTTTCTGACTGAAGGTGTTAGAAAATCTCTTACAATATAATATGTAAAAACTTAAATTGTAAAGAATAAAAATGTGCATCGTTCAATTGTTTACTCGTTTACATCGTCTAATCGTTAATAAGACGTTATCTTTATTTTAATAATAACTTAAATGCGTTGCCTAAAGATCACAAAGATCATGACAGAGTTTTTACAATAAGACCACTTGTAGTCCATTTGAATACGAAATTTTCTAGTGTACCACTAGAGCGTGACTTAGCCATTGATAAGCAACTTTGTGCTACAAAAGTTCATAGCTACTTAAAACAATATTTGCCTCTATGACCCCACAAGTGGGGTTATAAATGTTTTGTATTATGTAGTTCAAAAGGCTATTCTTACAAATTTGAACTCTATACGGGTCAAGAACACTTGGATAAATTCAGATTAGTTGTCGTTCGGTTACCAAGGATTATTCCAGAAAATAAGAGTCACAGAGTCTATTTTGACAATTGTTATACCACTATACCTATAGTATCTTATTTGTCAAACAAATATTACTTTTTATTAGTTTATGTTTAGACTAATAATACAATTTAAACAAAATTATTTTTTTCTTTTTACTTTAGTATAAAAATGGAAAACCAAATCATGGGACAATTTAACGCGGATATGGCCTCTTTTCTTCATCTATTACAAAATGCGTCTAATGAAGAAACAGAACGTGAGTCCCATGATTGGTGTGAATATATACGTTTCAACCTTTAAGACATTCACGAGCAGCCGTAGAAATTGCTAAAGAACATTCGCTTCATAAAAATGGTTACATACTTTTTCATTTTGATATAAAAATTCATGATCGCCAAGTATTGTGCGCAACGAAATGTACAAAAATATTACACGTGTCCACCGAGTTTGCTGGTGGATTATATAAATATTTATGGTGATTACCGGATCAAAAAATATTCAGAGTATATTATATTATTATTATTATTTAAAACAAAAACCTATATCAATAACACAATTATTTTTACAGGTTTGATTGTTTTATACAAGCCGTTCAGCGAAATGTAAGTGTAGTGTTGAGTGAATTATTCTACAGCCGAATTGACAGCGACGGCCTACGCCGAAATCGTCGATTTAGTGAATCGCGATTAAAAGTCTTGGCGAATACGGCTCGGACGAGCGGCTACGCCTCTGGTGAATTTGGAGTAACTCAATTAAATAAAAGTGAAGAAGTCTGCGTGGGTCGCTTCACTTACTGAAGTTCAAAAGTGGGAAGCTGCCAAAAATGTAGCGAGCTTTCTGGCGGCGGGGACCGATTCGGACTGATTGAACTCGTGTGATGTTGTGTTGCATGTAAAGTATATTGTTGGTTTGTGGAAACCGTAAAAATAAATTATAAGAATTATAAGAAATGCGTTGAACAAACTACATTTCCGAGAGATGTCGATCTCAAAACTTTTGAAAATCTCGATCCGATTACCGATGAACAAGAAATACAGTCAGTTATATACGACTTTATGGTTTTTTTCTGACTGAAGGTGTTAGAAAATCTCTTACAATATAATATGTAAAAACTAAAATTGTAAAGAATAAAAATGTGCATCGTTTAATTGTTTAAATTAAAAAAATATAGATTTATCATTTTCAAATTAATTTCAATAACAATTATTTTTACAGGTATGATTCTTTTACACAAGCCGTTCAGCGAAATGTATTATGTTAAAAGGTTTATTCAATAATTTTATTATTATATTTTTTGTTATTAAAATCAAATTTCTTGAATGCTAAATAAATAAATAATTTAATTATATTTTGTTGTATTGAGTGTATTGCATATGTTGCCGTTTGTTGTTATGTTTTGTCTACCCTCCTTTTTTGAAAAACGTTTTCATAGGGGTTCCGCATAAAAAATATTAATGTTTGGTGTTCCGTGATCTCAAAAAGTTTAAGAAACACTGCTCTATACCCTATACCGGGAATGGCGAGATTTTCCGCGATTAAATGTGCGTGACTGTCAGGCCAATATTACAATGCAAAGAGTGCGTGCAGAACTCCAAGTCCACAACTACACGGAAAGAACATCCTCCGGTCTTCTTACGTACAAAATAAGGCAGGTGGTACAACGTGTACCAGAACTGTCACTCGCCATAACCAGCGCAGATGAGATACTACCCATCACCTTTCCTGAAGCATATATGATGCGGCAGAATGAATATGCCACAAACTTTTTCGGGTAGGAACACAGATGATGTAGAAGACTATTTTAAAACTTTTGACCGAATAGCAGCCGCGAATAAATGGGATGAGGATTCTAAGGTGGTAATGCTCCCTTTTTATCTAAGAGACCAGGCGAAAAGGTTGTTTAATGACATAGAAACCGGAATCGTTAAAATAGGCTGGTCGTTAATTAGGAAATCTGTTTTGGACTTTTACAACTTTAAAGATTAATTAGAAATATTAAGGCGTAGTATAGTTGTCAAAGACAAATGTATATTAGCGAATAAGCAATTAAATGTAGGCCAAACAATCAAAACAAAACTATACAAAATTGTCTACACAGTAAAAATTCCAATCATGTTTATTATTTAAGGCCGCCCAAACTACTATGTCGGGTGGACTCTCCCGTAAGCGACCGTTCTGTTACGAGGAGAGTATTGTCGCGTGTATTTTTGTTTTTGTCGATATTATATTTGTGTGTGTTTATTCATTTTTGAGTTGCTTTTCTTTTTACTAATTTTAAAAGTGTCACCTTTTCTCCCATACCTTTTAAGGTAATTCAAGTGTATTGTGTGTTAAAGACTCTTGTTTCTTTGCTAGTGCCAGTACTTGCGTTCAAGCTATCAACCTGTTTATTATAGTTATAAAGCTAGACAATATAATTGCCCTGAGGCATTATACTATTTATAATCACAGGCTTGATCGTTTGATAGAAAACCACCCGAGGCAGAAACAATCCGGAAGGCGACTAGAGCTCTGCCACTTTTATGCGCACTTATTAAAAGGCACCTTAGTTGTTAGGTAAAAGGTATTATTTTTAAGTTATTTTATTTACAGTGTGTGTGTGTGTATAACGGTTCGTGTACCAAAGTTGCGTATACGACAAAATTGGCGCCCAACTAGTGACTCGATCCTTCACGACCACCGAATTTTTCCAGTCGCTTTAATGATTAAAATGGACACAGTCAAACACGTTCATTTAATAGTAGAAAAAGTAGCAGCACATTTCAATATAGTTGATTTGACACATTTCTTCTCGGCAATCAACCATCAATTTCCGCCAAAAGAAAATTGCATATACCATATTACTGGCATCATGGATAGAACGCGGCAAGTCTTAAGGGATAAGCAGGCGGAAATGATATGTGAAACAGATTTATCCGATAAAAACACAAAATACAATGAAAAAACCATAAACATATATTGTTCCCAAATGGAAAACCCGCATAGAGTGAAAGAAGTTTTTAATAAAATCAGATTCAACATTTTTATTGCATGGCAAAAAAATAATTCTGTCAAATTTGCAAGCCATACACGGTCTAACTGCCATATTTATATTGGAAACCTAGAATTTAAATGTGGGAAACATCCTGTGGAATTATATTTAGGATCAAAACCGCGGATGGTTGGTTTAACAAAACAGAAGTACAAACGGGGGTATGTAAAAAATACCGGCCATAAAATGTTTGTACGACCATTATTTAGAACGAAATAGAGAACCATGTTTTACTTTGAGGAATAATAGACCATTTGGTATAACCGAAAATCTAAAAAACGCCACGAAAAATTTTAACTTCATTTCTTACCCGTTCGTGCATAGTTCATGGTATAGCTTTATTTGTGTTTCAATTGGAAAAGAAACTTTTTATAAGAGGAAACTAATTTGTAGAGAACTCAGAAGCCTATGTAGAAGTCCCCGATGCCTTCCATGCGCCCTAATCAAAGACCCAATCATAGACGAAGAACTAGAGGCAATAAAGAAAATGTCACTAAAATATTTTAAAAAACCATATAGCTTAGCATTATGCACCTATTATTTCCCTGACTTTTAGTAATTAGTATTTTATTTTTTGAATAATTATAATTGTTTAATTGAAAATACAAATTTGCCTATGGTAATTTTTTATCAAATATTATCATACTTTATAGTTTATTAGTATATATTTTTGAACATAACAGCCTTTAGAACATTTAGTTGAAAATGAAGGAAAAGCAAAAGGTAAACTAATGTGTGAATCTTGGAGTGTGTGTTGGACATTTTTGTCTCTCTCCTATAAAATATAAATTCGTTCATTTATTAGAAAAAATAACGTAGTTAAATTATTGTACGTCGGTAGCTAACAAGATGTTTTTAGACAAGACTTTTTTAAACGGTGGTCGTACTAAACGTATAACATAACCGTGCTCGAGGAGTGTAAGTTATATTAAAGTATTTATTTTCAATATGGTTCTCATTAGAATCAAATATTACCACTGATCTAAGGTAGGGAACGTTTCAAGTACCGAAAATTATGAACAATTCGTGTTAAAGTACGGTAAAATTATACCCTAGTAGTATTGTTATCAAAAGGTCCATCAAATTATACAAATCTATCGGCTTGTTATAAAAATCATACTGTTAGTATTTATCAACAAAAATCAACAACCGGAATCGTACCAAATAATAACATTGAAAATAGCTATTATGCATTTTAGTATACCTGTTGAAAATTAAAACTAAAATTGAAAATTAAAATATTCCTTAAAATTTTAAATCGAACATCCGCGTGACGGAAAATCTTAAATGACTATCGGATCGTGGGTGTTCATTACGTCTTTGATTTTAATCGTTAAACATGCCCGTGTCGTCAGCTATAATACTAATAATCATAATAACGTGACCGGTGTGCAATCATCGGTCGAAAGATTCGTGGCAAACGGCGTTCCTTACAATAAGAAAAAATATGCGTTTGTATTGTCGTTCGTAGCGGACAAGTCGGTGTGCTCTGCTACCCTGGTGAAACCACTGTTCGCAGTTACTGCCGCTCACTGCACGTGGAATCTAGAAGCTGGCAAATCGAATGTACGTTAAACGATAAAAATCCTAAACGTACACAACATGCTCGTTTATCCGAATAAATTTCCACGACAGGTGTATCGCGGCCATTACGATCAGGCGGCCAAGGACGACACGATAAGACGGAAGGTCGTGCACTATTACCAGCACGAACAATTCGACATAAACAAAAATCCTTTCCCGGACATAAGTATCATTCAAGTAACCATCGTATTTTGTTTTTTGTAATTAAGTAGTACACGGTGTTATAATATTATCTCGTTGACCCGCCGTCTCAGATAGAATCGGAATACGCCGAAATTGAGGAATACGCCGAAATAGGCGGGAATCCCGGTGACTTTAAAAACGGCAAACTAGTCAAATGTATCGGCGTGGGATTCGGCAAGACGGAATATCAGAAATTAGCCAAGAAAAACGGATACCAATACGCCGTTTCAATGAGATACGGACCGGACGCGTGCATCGGAGACACCGCAGGTATGTGTATACTGTGTATACCCGGTATATACCATAGGAGGGTTGTTACCCCGCCGAAAGTGGTAAAATGCACATTTTTTTTTTTTACAAGACCCAAAACAATGGGTCAATTATCTGTGTTCGAAGCCCAGCATCAAACAGGCGTGTTTCGGAGACAGTGGCGGTCCGACATTTTGCAAAGGGAAATTCTACGCGATCTACATGTCCCGTTACAATTACGTGATTAAGGATCCACAAATAGATTTTTGCGGCGATCCGAACATCGAGACGAAACACTTGTTTCTATTTCAGTATAGGAATTGGATTGCCGGCATTGTCGGTCCGTTGCCGTCGAGCGAGTCCGGAGACAACAGCAGGGAGTACTACGACGACGAATTTGCCTCGGGCTCGATCCCATTTAACAAACGCGCGTTAATGTTATTAAATTCCATCGTATTATGCGTAGTTTTATTTTGAAGATATTCATCAAAACGCCACATTTTATTGATTATTATCATCGTATTTTATTTAGAAACGTTGAGTGCATTTCAATAGATAAGTTGACAACGCCAAAGTCAATTGAGGGGAACGAACATTGTTCGTACTAATACAAAAGTGATCGCGACTTAAAAATTTATGCTAATTGTAATAAAAAACTAGGTAATTAATTTTTTCTTTCGAGAGCGATTTTTACCTACTAATAATATCGTATAAACATAATCGGTCATCTCAAGCAAATTGCTGCTTTATTCGAATACTCGAGGCAATGGAAGACTGTGTACAAATACAGGAATACATTAAAAATACAACTACAATGCTCGTCCATATTTTACAGAGTCAATAAATAGTTTTATAATTACAATAAATTTTCTCGAATATTTATACACACGCATCCTCGTTAGATTCATTTTTCTCCTCTTCTTCTCGAATTATAAAATTAACTGAAACATCTCTGTGCACAAATCGAGCAGAAACAGTCAACCGACTTTATTCCGTACAAAAGAAAAAGGAGATAAATAAGATAATAGTGTAAAACCCCTCAAACATCAAGATAGATTAATGATGGTTGAATAATAACTTCATTTCGCCCATGGACATGGCTATAAAATCTTAGAATATCATCATATTATGTCGGTCATTTATTTATGATCTTTGTACATTGAAGAATCGCCATTTATGCAAATTAGGCTTGGTTATAATACAAAATAATTTATATAATGCTTATAACTAAATTTATATCATTGTATTGATTATTGAGTTTTTATTGAATAAGTTATATTATATAAAAGCGGCACTGTCGACATAATAAATAAATGAACAACAGCCATTGGAACTGCCTCTGATGTCTTTTTTTTTCCTTAAAAAGTCTACCGGAAGAGCGCAACTCTCTAATAAGTGACGCTGTGCTAAAATAGCGACTACCACTGTAGGTTTTTAGTTGGTCCATTGTTCCCATTGTTATAAAGTTAAAACCAATTTAACTCTCTAAAATATTTTACTACTTATACTAGTTTCGACAATGGCCAACATTTACATTAAATAAGTCCTTATTTATGTATTGTCCTCTTTTTCAACGGAATTCAGTTAAGAGTAGAAGCTGCATCGGTAACCCAATACTTTCGCGAGTCTGGAGTGTTTGCCCACTGTGCAAGCTCAGACTTTGACGAGATGCGACGAATGACCCGGAGATAGCTTAGGTATTTCTCGTCGTACATAGGAATAACTCTGCACCATCAGCACCCTGGTTTATGCTGGCCAAACGTAAAAATAATTTATTTTACCTCCTCGTTGTAAACCATCCTATTCCAGGACAATTATAAAGAATAGTAAGGACATAAAATAAAATATTCCATGACATTGTTTTCAAAATTTCGTTAAAAACCACCAGCACAATGGGGTCGTGTCATAGTGGGAACGGGCCAAACAGGTCTTTAGGAATTATTTTAACAAACCCCAGAATAAATAAACGCTTCGATGCGAATCTGTTGATAGGAGAAATATTAAATATCAATAGAAACAATAAAAAAAACTCTACCTTCGGGTCTCGCGAGAGTTACCTGATATAATAAACGTCTCTAAATAATATAGATAATCTCTTTTATAATTTAACACTGACGAATAAAATACTTAAATCAAAAATGAATAATTTACCTTGGACAACGCAGTGCCGAATAAGAGTAAGTCAGTAGTGTCCGATTGATTTTAACGAAATTCCTTCGTAGGAGACCACCGATGACAGTTGCACAACAACAACAGTCGACGTTGTTGTTTGATAATCAATAAACCGGAAATAAACACATGGCAAATATGTTTTATCGTCTCGACCGAAATAAGTGCGTGTAATTTTTTGGCCGCCAACATTCTGCACTAGCACCATGGTCCAGCCTAACGACCAGAACAACAATCGCGAAGAGCACCACGACCACCATCATCGCGGGAGCGGCATCGGTACCGTGACGGACGTGGGCCCGGGCACGCTGGCGGACGTGCCCGACGACATCAACGTGGGCGTCCGGAAGAAAACCGTCATGTTCGGCGCCGGCAAGCTGGTGACGTTCGAGGACGCGCAGCAAGAGGCCGGCACGGGAATGTATCAGCTGGCTTTGTTGATTGTCTGCGGCATGGTCAACATGGCGTGCGCCATATCCACCACGTCCGTGTCGTTCGTCACGCCGGCGGCGTCGGCCGACTTCCAATTGACGTCGATCACCAAGGGCGTGATGAACGGCGCCCCGTTCGTGGGCATGTTGATCGGCGCGTACTTTTGGGGAGTGTGCAGCGACATCAACGGCAGACGGGACGTGATACTCGGCTCGATGGGGATGGACGCGATCCTGTCGGTCGGCTCGTGCATGGCGCAACACCTGCAGTACTTCATACTGATCCGGGTCGGCAACGGGTTCGCCATCATAGGCGCCACCTGCATGATCTACGTGTACTTCGGCGAGTTCCTGACCGGCGACAAGAGAGACGCGTACCTGCTCATCCTGGAGGTGTTCTGGGCGCTGGGAATGGCCGCCGGGCCGGGAGTGGCCAGCATCGTGATCCCGCTGGAACACGTTTGGATAGACCGACCGGATTTCACGTTCAACAGCTGGCGGCTGTTCATGCTGCTGACGGCCGTGCCCAGTCTGTTGGGCTTCATATTGGTCTATCAGTTCCCGGAATCGCCTAGGTATCTGATGCTCAAGGGCCGAATGCTGAAATCGCGGGACGTCCTGGAGCGGATTTACATCGTGAACCATTCGCGCAAGGCCCCGCCGTATTCGGTGGACAGTTTCACGCAAACGTACTCGGCCATCGGGTTTTTCGACGTGGGCGGCATGCCGTTCTGCATGAACCTCAAAGCCAGGCTGGTCGCTCTGAAGAACGGCCACAAGACTCTGTTTTCCCAGTATCTCAGGAACATTTTCGTCACGTGCACGATAGAATTTTGCCTGATGGCCTCGTACGTCACCGTCCTCGTGTGGGTGCCCGAGTTGTTCAGCAGGTATCACGACTACGAAGTGAGAAACGCCGAAGACGGCGGCGAAGCGGTGAACATATGCGCCGCGTCTCATTGGCTGTTGAAACATCCGAGCGACAGCGCAGTCAAGCACACGCACGTGGGTCACCAGGCGTACGTGGCCGCTTTCGTGGTCGCCTCGTCCACGCTGATTCCCATAACGATCATGGGTCTCCTGATCAAGTGCGTCAGCAAGAAAATATTGCTGTGGATCAGCTGCGGAATACCCGCTGTCGCCGCACTGGTCATGACGAAAACCAGAGACGATTTCGAAGCAGAAATCTTGTGCTGCTTCTTCGAAGGTTTCACCACCCTGGTGGAGCCGATCATATTCTGTACGATGGTCGAGTTGTTCCCGAGCAACATAAGAGGCGTGGCGTTCTCCCTCACTGTGATGTGCGGTCGACTAGGCGCCGTAGTAGGAATCTGCGTGTTCGGTTTTCTACTCGACATCAATTGCCACTCGACGTTTTACCTTTTGGCTACGTTGCTGTCAATTGCTTTTCTAGCCGTCATATGTTTGCCAAAATTAAAAATCGGAGGTAGCCATTAGGCTGCTGTGGAATACATGTTTTGTTAACTAGCAGATTGAAAATTGTACTATAAAAATTTATTTCAAAAATGATTAAATTTTCGACATGTAATAATTTATTTAATTTTATTTGAAATAATCTTTATTAACTTTAACGGGGTTCTGAAGAAATATATTCGGTAAAAAATTACAATTATACAGTAAAATATTTAAAACGGTTAGAGTTAATTAAAATTACTTCCCATCGATTATGAGGAAAGAAGTACGAGACTTTCATAACAGGCAATATGGACATTTTTTATTTAAGGTGATATTATCAAACACAAAAACTACGTTTTATTGGACTGGAAGATATTACAACAATAATTCGCAATTAGTTGTAAATGTTGTCCTGACAAAATATTTTAAGGATTGTGTTTTATAAAAATATAACAATAATAATTAATATTAATTTTTTCACTCTAATAGTAATCATTCTTAATTTTCAATTAATCAGTTGCCCATTTTGGTGAAGAAACATTTAAAGTGTTAACGTTTTCAGGTAAGACTTTTGAATTAACAATATTTCCAGCTGTCGAGAAGCATGGAACACAAATACAATTATTAAAAAAAAAAAAACCGTTGAATTGTGCGTATGTATAGCTATTATAATATTTAAACATTAATATGATTGTCTAGTAACCTAAGCCAAATTAACAAATAAAACAATAAACACAATCAAGTGTTAGGCACTTTTGTAAAGTACCTATTACAAAGGCCATTATCTATCTCTGCCATGAATTTCGAGGAGCACAATAATCAGCAGGCGAGTTAATAACTTAACTTACAATGGTCATAAAAAATATAATACAAAAACAGTTGTACCGTTTGTTCGGTTTAGTTGGCCAGGATGATTGAGTTTATGGACCAAGAAGCACATCAAATGGTGCAGGACATCGACGATATGGCCGAAGAAGAATATCATATGCAAAAACGCGAACTGGTACATAAAGGCATAGAGGCCATAAAACAGGCGTACAAAAAGAAAATGGTACGCATCGACAGGGAAAAAGCGACGTGAGTTTTATTAGCAACGCTTTGACGTATTCTCTGACGTTTGTCTGAATGAATCTATGTATTACGTGTTCGACGGGATCAGAATGATATCTACTCACATGACCAAAGCCAAATTGGAGATACTGTTGAGCAGAGACGAACACATCAAGTCGGTGTTAGCCGCGGTCAATGAAGAGCTCGTCGAATTACGCAAAGATCAAAACTCGTACAAACCGATCCTCAAGAAGTTAATACTTCAGGCCATGTATCAAGTAGTGCAGAATGGAGTGTTATATGCAAACTGATAAACTGGCATAGCTGTTTTTTTTTATTTTTATAGATGTTGGAAAAAAAAATAGATTTGATTGTGATACCCGATGACGTCGACACGGTGAAGTCGATGGTTGAAGAGCTACAAGAAGATTATCTGGCCGGCACAGGGTTGAACGTGGATATCAACATTGACAACCGCTTAAAGTTGTCCGACCAAGAGATTGGCGGCGTCATGGTGACTGCCCAAAAACGTAGGATATTTGTAGACAACACACTGGTGATGCGGTTGATATATTTAGCTATTCAAGCGGTACCACTCATACGCAGTGGACTGTTTGGGCCAAAACCCACTAGAAAACACCAATCCACAGACTGATGATATCCTTTATTAAAAATATCTGCAAGGAAATTACAAATTTCAGGAAAAGTTATCACAGAAATAGTATTGAATTAAAATAAAATACACATATGCTGAGAGGTATTATTTTTTAACAATGATGTGTAATTTATTACGCAACATTATTTCATATGGTGTCCGACCAATAATATTATCAAAGTAATAACAAAAAATCATAAGTCACGCTATTTCATCAAGGAATACACAGTTCATCAACATTTTATCAAACACCAAGTCAAAACACAATTATAAACACATTTATTGTCTATAGAATATACAATTATTTATATTTATTTTAAAATAGTTTTTATCATATACAGGTTCGCGTCAAAATATTTATTTTCCGTAACAATTTCTAAATACTTGCGACCTCTTTGACTCCAATAAGCAACGTCCACCTCTACTGTGCTGGCTTTTATAAATATATTTTCAAGAATTTATTACTTACCCAAAAAACTGATGGCATCCGGGACGATTCCGTATCTAATAATAATAATAATGAGTTATTCAAACTAAAAAAATGTTGTATAATGTAGTATAGATCCAACTGCTATAATTATATTGGTAACATGGAATTCAAATGTGGAAACCATCCTGTAGAATTATATCTGGATTCAAAATCCACGGATGGGTGGTTCACAAAAAAATTAGTACAAACGGGGGTGTGTGACTAAGACCGGCCATAAATCCGGAAAAATAGGGAACTAAAAGAATTGTATCAAAGTCCTAGTTTTGTAGAAGACATTACCAAGAAACGACTCATCTGGGCAGGACACGCATGGCGTAAGGAAGGATCGCTGTTGAGAACAGTGTTAGGAAATACTCCACAAAGAAAAATACCACTGAGACGCCCTAGAGTAAGATGAGAAGAAAGGGTAAAAGAAGACATGGAAAAAGTAAAGCCAGGAGAGGTATGGAAGAAATTATCATTAGAAACAGAAAGCTGGAGGCAAATATGCTGGACGGTATGGTCTTGAAGGCCGAAAACCACGAAGAAGATTTTTTTTTTAATTGAACTTTTTCTATTATACTAGGATATGCTAACTTTCTTATTAAAATCGTTTAATGTCTATTTTATCATATCGCTGATATACTAGAAGCTTATAAAGATGAATCAAACTTTGATCATGGAATAGATAGAAATAAATTACACACAGAAGATGAAGTCGTCTTAAATATAACCAGACAAAATTATTCCAATTATAATATAGATCTGAAATCGGGAAATATGCTTAACTTATTTGGACTCGGTAATAGATTAATATTTTCATTCATTGGTATAAGTTTTCCTAATCATTTCGACAAAACAGTATGCTCAAATCGTAAACCTTGTGAGACAACATTATCTTATTTAAAACGTCTCCAGAACAAGAAATTGTAAGAGAACTTGTTAGGAGTAAGTTTTTAATTATATATATTTTTTTTAATTGAACTTTTTCATTTATACTGCGATATGACGGCACAACGGCCTGCCTTTGGCCTCGCGGTACGAGTGGGAGCGGACAACTCGGTCAGGTGCTCCACTCACCTTACTGCCCGCTGGAAGCCTGGCCCAACCTGCAACCACGGTTACCATCCATCATCAGGCCCAGATCATCAGTCAGGACTGCGGGAAACGGACGCTGCTCCAACGCGCCCCCAACACCCAGGGACTCGCAAGGGCGATTCACACCAAGGAAAACGTGGGCCCCCCTCACCGATGCCCTCAATCAAGGAAGGACGGAGCCCAGGCAGCTGGAAAGAAGCGATCACCAACCCGGAACTTCACAGGCCAGCACCTCGACCACGACAGTGGAAGCACCGGAGGAACCGGAAGTTTTCCATATCACCGCTGCTTTCCCAAATCATTCACAAAGAACCACTTACGAAGCGCTGCCTTACGTGCCCGTAGGGCCGTCTGCCATGGTTGTCTGTCAAGACCCAACGGACATACCGGACATGGACGCCATCCGGGAGCTGGAGGAGCTGCTGCGACATATTTGAAAAATGTTGCATATTTAAGCATATTTTGTATATAAGTTCATTAAACCCATTATTATATTTCTATTTCACCACAGAAACTAGATTATGATTTATGAGTTCATGACGTGTTAGGAAATACATTTTATTTCCCGTGTCATATTTTTTTAGATTGTTATTGTAAACATTTTATCTTGTTAATCGCAATGCGGTTATCGGCAACAATGCCGACCGGTTTTTCCTAATTGAATTTCCTTTTTAAAATGATATTTTGTAAACATGCCTTGTCGTGTTCTCGGAAATAATCGCTAGTCAGTGTCAGTACTGTAATGGATTACTGAAGCATTTATGAATACGTTTTGTTAGGTCTCAGTGTAGCTAACCTAATGATTATTCTGGTTGTACTATATCTAAATGATATATTGCAATATAATCGCTTGAGGCGAGCACGAGCCAATAGGATTGGTCAAGCCGTGCACGCAGGAGAGGAAATACCTATGTAAAATATTAGTAATAAAAATAACAAATAGAAAGTAGTATAGTAATTTAAATATTAAAAAAAAATCACGGTGAAGGACGACTAATATACGCATGATGTTATATCTGTAATAATGTAATGAAACCTGTTTTAGCGCAAACGTAAAGATCCTAGTGGCCGATTTCGAGTTTCTGCCAAAGACACAGAGTGAATATATCGCTGTGTCAGGGTGCCTGTTGTCGACGCACAAAAACAACATTCCTGTGAACCTATCGGGGTTCCCGATAGTAGTAACCACTCATTGTGCACCTCGGCAGGCCACGCCCCAGGAACTCAAATCACTCACCCGCCAATGCATTAGATTTAAGGACACAAAACCAGCGTTCGGCTCGTTATTAAACGAGTTGAATAAGGGATTGTATCAAAAGGGGCCCTCGACGATGAATTTATCCTCCATTTCAAAGTATATCCACAAAGGTTCAAGAAAACCCATCGTAGTGTTTTGGAACGGTAACCATGATTACAAAATATTGCAGCAATTTGGAATAAAAAAACGTTTATAAATATTTGAATATGACCGCCTGGGATAACAACAATGACGGGCGGTTCAATTTGAAGTTGATAAACATGGTGACCGGGAAAATTTATTACGATGAGTTTTTAGGGGAGGTTAAAAAAAGGGGTAGGGAGCTGAACCTGCGGGAAGCTCACGACTTTACGTGTATAGAAACACACTCCCCCCATATGAACTTTCATGACCCGGTTTTTGACACGATTGCTACACGCTGTGTTTTGAATTACATTATTAGTAAGTTAAGGCCGATTAAATTTTATAGATTAATTAAGGACATGCCTAGATTAAGGAAAAAGAAAAACAAAAAAAAAAGGAAAAGAAAAAACATAACTAACATTACGAAATAAGTAGCATAAGTGACACTGACATTTAATTCTAAAAAATATATGTTTTAATGTTCTAGGTGAATGGAAACCTTTCCTACCTACATTAGAATTAGTACATTAGACATTACAATGAGTACGAGTAATCCCCGTGTAATCTTCTTGAAACGAGTGGTAAATCTTGCTTTAAACAATTGTACCAACCCTCTTGCACCCAAAAACACATTATTATTTTCAAATGCAGTTCAGATTATTAGCGTTTAATTATAGTAGACTTAGATCCTTTTTACAAAGATCAATAATTTTCTTAGTCATTTCTGGTGATGGGACACTATTCGATGAGTCTAAGTAGTGTATGGGGGCTAAAGTATGTATGGAAACATATGATATTACACTATTACAGTAATATTAAGTCAACAACTAACTAACTTAAATATTGTTTAAATATTGCATTATTATATTTATTCGCTGTGTATAACCAAAATTGTTAATTAAGTTGTTTTCGATTATGACTGTGCCATAGGTACTGTAAACACATTATTTTTATATTTAAACAATAAGGTCCGTGGAACAGCCGCTGTCTCTCCGTGGAGTGCTCGCTGACCGAGGTTTACAAGACCAGTTGGAGGTCGACCATCCGCTCCTACAAATGTTTGCCGCTAGTTTGCGTGTGACAAACCCTGAGCAGCCTGCTGTATGGGATATGTATCCAGCGATTTGTTCTCGAGTGTTATGTTATGTACAAACTACGCTGATAGCCGCTAATACGCCACCGAGTCACTGGTCAGAGCTGCTAGTACATCCGAAATTGATGATCGAGTGCTTAGTCGAGTGCGTTTATTATAATAACCAGAGTTTCGAAATAACTGTGCACTTTTATTTTGAAAAATAAATTGCTGTTCTAACTTCTAATTTTTTATTAAGGACTTTTTTGAAACTGTTAATGCAGTAACATTTTTGTTCGACCTTTTATTATAAAGTTCATTCGAGAACTTTTATGTCAGACCTTTGATAATAAAAGTTCTTATGAGATCTCCATTGTAGGAACATTAATTATAATAAAAGTTCTTACTTACAAAATTTTTATCCAGGACTTTTATTTAAAAGTTCTTCCAATAACTTTCTTATCGAGGACTTTTATTTAAAAGTTCTTTATTATAAAAGTTCTCTACGGAACTTTTTTAGTTTTTTTTTTATAATGAAAGTTTGAATCATTAAAGTTGTCAATTAATCTATAATCATTATAAAATATTTGTATTCAGGTAGTGTTACGCTTACAGTATTTATTAAAAGCCTATAACGCTTAAAGTCTATAACTTCTTATTTCATCTACCTAATGTACGTAACTCCCTATGCGGGCTTACTACATAAAGGATTTTATTGGTCGTCGGTGGTTTTACGTGAGGTGCGAACAAAATATCACAAATATAAAAACGTTTTATTAAAATCGACATTTACCCGCGTGACCGCTGCACCTTATGCCGCCGTCGAATCTATAACTCGACGGGTACTGATTATTCGCACCGTGTGGTGCCCGTAAAAAGCTTGGACTCCAAAGCGCGTGAACAGCAACACCGCTCTTTACGGACGTGCTGTTATTTAAGAGGACTCCAATGCCGTCGTGGCGAATACTCAACAGGCAACCGATCACCACGTTGTTGCATGCTAGCTAAGCCAGCATAAATTATATTGGAAAATTGTCTACACGTGTAAAACTCTGAATCCTAGTAATATTATACGCGATACCGACACTAATTGTAAAACCTGAACTGGTTTCTTTATAATACTTTGTACTTGGCCAAAAGGTCATCAAGAATATAAAAATGTAAAAAAATCACATTAAAATAATTGCATAAATAAATTATACTGAACTGTATACTATGTACTGACTAAACAAGTCAACAGGATGTTATGTCAACAAGGCCGAAAACACGAAGATTTGTTTTTAATTGAACTTTTTCAATTATACTAGGATATGCTAACTTTCTTTTAAAAAAACGTTTAATGTCTATTTTATCATATCGCTGATATACTAGAAGCTTATAAAGATGAATCAAACTTTGATCATGGAATAGATAGAAATAAATTACACACAGAAGATGAAGTCGTCTTAAATATAACCAGACAAAATTATTCCAATTATAATATAGATCTGAAATCGGGAAATATGCTTAACTTATTTGGACTCGGTAATAGATTAATATTTTCCCGCGGCGGCGGCGGCAAAAGTAGTGGCACGTGTGCGCACGTGGGCGGACTAGTTGGCCAGATGGTATAATAACGACTCGTGCGTAGTTATTACGTTAGTGCGAGCCAACAACCTAAACAGGCCTCAACGAACGTATATAAATACGATCGAGAATGGACCTCGAAATTAGTGCCGTTCCACACTTTAAACAAGAATCACTTCAGTCGCAAGAATCTTTTCAAACGCAAACTAACCATGGATCTTCAAGAAACCGATCTTTTTGCACCGACACCGTCGACTTCGACCGCTGCACCGACCAAACCGGCGAAACAGACGACGTTAAAGAAACGCCCGAATTCGAAACTGGGGTTTTCTTCGGGCCAGCGTCATCCACCGACGACGAAACGACCGAAATTGACGGACGGCCAGGTAATCGAATTAGTAGATTCGGCGGAGGAGGACGAGGAAGACAACAGAATTTGGAAAAATATGCAATCAATGACTCTGCTCAATCTGCCCGTGAAAACAATAGTCGACTTGAGCGACTTTCGTCATTTTTCCGGATTTATGGAAGTCCTTCTCACGGACGACGTGCCTCTCGATTCGCTGATGCTAATGCCGTCCATAGCGGTGGTGATTATGATGACGATACTGGTGGAGAAGAACCCGACGCCGGACATGGCCAAAGCCGAACTCCTGTCCACTCTGTTGAACTTTCAATTGTGGAAGACTCCAACATCGAACGTGATGGCCGCCCTGAAGACGAAAATGTATGCGATCCCGGTATGTCATATCCCGCAAAACGCCGAAGGCTCGACAACGACGGCGGACAACAAGAATCTGTTCGACACGTACCTCATTCTGGTGGCCCAGATCTACTGGCGGACGACGGATTGTTTGGAGAATACGCCGCTGAGCTCTATCACCGGTATATGGGAAGCAATTCCGTGTACCTCTCGGACATATGTGTCCCTGAGGGACGCGCGGAGTTTGCTCAATTATATGCTGAGTTTGAAGTGGGACTGCGGCAATGCGACCAGAACACCAGAGAACAATTCCGAATCGTGTCCGAGCACGGAGACCACGTACACGTCGTGCACGCCTGCCCGTATTCAAACTCAGCTTGTCGCTGTACGTGGCTCCGTCGCAGCGCCGTCTGGAGGTCGCGACGACGAACTCGATTTAGACGACGAGTTTTCGTCGCTGACCTCAAGGTTGTCGACTGGGAAAACATCGCTCGATATTTCGCTACAAAAGGACACGCAGTCCAAAACTGCCAAGGCACATGTTATGATGGAAGACTACGTGTACGAACTCAAAATGTACAAGTAAGTCTGTCGAAATTTAACCAACACACTCTGTACGGCGTATTATATTTTTTTTTTCCCTAATGTTACAGGAAGGAGGACATACGCAATTTGGATCGGTCGCAGTGGTACACCCGTGTCCACGTGAAGGCGGTGGGCACGGTGAAGGCGAGCCACCCGACCAAAAAGAAGTTGGATGGTTTAGTGGGCGACCTCATGGCGGACCTGAAGACGAAACCGAACTTACGTATGGAAAAAACCTTTTGTTATGGCCAAAAACATTAGATCAGTTGCTGCTATCCTATCCTTGCTGTCCGCCAGACGCTTTTTTCCACATAAAAGAGTTTTACGACAATCCAAAGTTAAATTTCCTCGAAGATTCTTCCAAAAAAGTACGGGTCTCCCTGCGAAATTGGTGCGCGCGTATCGCCGTGTGGTCGATTTCCGATTTCGACAGATTCTATCAGACCCCCGGGGTTCACCCGTATTTTAACGCGTACGCTCGCCAGCACGATCAGGTATATTACGCCGTCGACGTTTCGGTAAAGATCGCCAACGATTTATTGCAATTGCAATTTCAAAACGATTCAGACACCATCTTTAAATTCCTCAAGGACGTACATGACATCTGTGATAAAAAAATACCGAAACGTAATTCGATGTGCGTAGTTAGCCCACCATCTGCCGGCAAAAAATTATTTCTTCGACGCTATTGCGTCTTTTTTTCTAAACTATTTAGTATCACAAATTACGGGGGTACTACCTAATATGGATTATGAAGTGGACGAAATCATAGACTAGGCTATGCCTAAAAAGTTCTAAGGGGGACAGGACTTGTCTCTCTTCACACCGAACTGGTATGGCCCTGTCTTGATTAAGTCCACCCTTCCTTATGTATTTAAAAAATTGCTCGTACCTCATTTAATGAAGACGAAGGTGTTGTTCCCCATGGTTCAAGGAAAGACAGGACTTGTCTTTTCTCACACCGAGCTCAAGGACACACACCGGCGTCAAGTAGATTGTGATTAATAATAATTAATAAGATTATAACACAGTCAAAATTATAAAGAGAAAAAGATGCTTTTATCATAGATTCTAAATTAACTGAAGATATTATCTAAGGTAATAAATTGTAATTGTATTTTAAAAATATTATAATGTCAATTTAAAAAAAAAAAAAATGTATTGTACTTTGAAAAAAGAATATATATTGTATTGTACTTTGATGAAAAGAAATTATGTAATTGTAATTGAAAAAAAATAATATATATATTGTAGTACTAACCTATATACTAACCACTAATTTTGAATGTTTAAAAAAAAAAAAAAACTTTATGTAATACTAACTATTAACCTATAATCACTATGTATTCAAATGTATAACTATATAATGTATAACTTTAAAAAAAAAAAAAAAAAACCATTGTAATTCTAATGATATGTAATGATACACAAGCAGGTAATTGAGTATTGTCAAAGATGTTTTATTCATAAATGTACAAAACATCTTTTTTTTGGGGAGAGAAATGTAATGGATTACTAAGTCCAGCCAAGTTTACGTCATGACCGATTTCTCCTTGAATATTAATATGTATACGACCTAAAGGAGTTATTCTATACTTTGTATGTAACCAAATGTAAACAACGTCATAAATTGTAAAATCCAAATTATAAATTGTAAAAGCCAATTTATTTATGCAAATCATATACCTTGTACAACTGAAAGATTGTAAAAACGCACAAACAAACACATAAATTGTATAAATTATCTATCCGACAATGTTCCGCACTTAACAGAAGACAGCTTGGCCATTCTCCAACAACCCGGATTAACGCTTGCACAACTGAGAAAAGGTCACCGAGGCGGGGATCCGAAGGACTCCTTCCACTCGAACCGGATGGGCATTTTGCGTAAATACCAGCCGTTTCACCACAGCAATTTAGAAGTGTTCTGGCTGTGTATTGTGACATACGTGCAACAAACACTCATTTTCGTTATCTGTGTATCAAATTAATGCTTATATTGTAATACATATAATACCTATTTTTGATTGAAAGTATTAACTTCATTTACAAATCTTCCATCTTCCTCCTTCAACCTTTTGTGTGCTAAGTATCCAAAGGCCACAGACTTGCGGGAACTTCACAAAAGTAACAAATAGAAAGTAGTTTATATAAGTTTTAATATAGTAATTTAAATATTAAAATAATCACGGTGAAGGATGATTAATATACGTATAATGTTATATCTGTAATAATGTAATAAAACCTGTTTTAGTGCAAACATAAAAATCATTGTGGCCGATTTCGAGTTTCTGCCGAAAGACACAGAGTGAATATATCGCTGTGTCAGGGTGCCTGTTGTCGACGCACAAAAACAACATTCCTGTGAACCTATCGGGGTTCCCGATAGTAGTAACCACTCATTGTGCACCTCGGCAGGCCACGCCCCAGGAACTCAAGTCACTCACCCGCCAATGCATTAGATTTAAGGACACAAAACCAGCGTTCGGCTCGTTATTAAACGAGTTGAATAAGGGATTGTATCAAAAGGGGCCCTCGACGACTGAATTTATCCTCCATTTCGAAAGTATATCCACAAAGGTTCAAGAAAACCCATCGTAGTGTTTTGGAACGGTAGCCATGATTACAAAATATTGCAGCAATTTGGAATAAAAAACGTTTATAAATATTTGAATATGACCGCCTGGGATAACAACAATGACGGGCGGTTCAATTTGAAGTTGATAAACATGGTGACCGGGAAAATTTATTACGATGAGTTTTTAGGGGAGGTTAAAAAAAGGGGGTAGGGAGCTGAACCTGCGGGAAGCTCACGACTTTACGTGTATAGAAACACACTCCCCCCATATGAACTTTCCATGACCCGGTTTTTGACACGATTGCTACACGCTGTGTTTTGAATTACATTATTAGTAAGTTAAGGCCGATTAAATTTTATAGATCTAATTAAGGACATGCCTAGATTAAGGAAAAAGAAAACCAAAAAAGAAAAGGAACAAGAAAAAAGCATAACTAACATTACGAAATAACGTAGCATAAGTGACACTGACATTTAATTCTAAAAAATATATGTTTTAATGTTCTAGGTGAATGGAAACCTTTCCTACCTACATTAGAATTAGTACATTAGACATTACAATGAGTACGAGTAATCCCCGTGTAATCTTCTTGAAACGAGTGGTAAATCTTGCTTTAAACAATTGTACCAACCCTCTTGCACCCAAAAACACATTATTATTTTCAAATGCAGTTCAGATTATTAGCGTTTAATTATAGTAGACTTAGATCCTTTTTACAAAGATCAATAATTTTCTTAGTCATTTCTGGTGATGGGACACTATTCGATGAGTCTAAGTAGTGTATGGGGGCTAAAGTATGTATGGAAACATATGATATTACACTATTACAGTAATATTAAGTCAACAACTAACTAACTTAAATATTGTTTAAATATTGCATTATTATATTTATTCGCTGTGTATAACCAAAATTGTTAATTAAGTTGTTTTCGATTATGACTGTGCCATAGGTACTGTAAACACATTATTTTTATATTTAAACAATAAGGTCCGTGGAACAGCCGCTGTCTCTCCGTGGAGTGCTCGCTGACCGAGGTTTACAAGACCAGTTGGAGGTCGACCATCCGCTCCTACAAATGTTTGCCGCTAGTTTGCGTGTGACAAACCCTGAGCAGCCTGCTGTATGGGATATGTATCCAGCGATTTGTTCTCGAGTGTTGTGTTATGTACAAACTACGCTGATAGCCGCTAATACGCCACCGCGTCACTGGTCAGAGCTGCTAGTACATCCGAAATTGATGATCGAGTGCTTAGTCGAGTGCGTTTATTATAATAACCAGAGTTTCGAAATAACTGTGCACTTTTATTTTGAAAAATAAATTGCTGTTCTAACTTCTAATTTTTTTTTAAGGGACTTTTTTGAAACTGTTAATGCAGTAACATTTTTGTTCGACCTTTTATTATAAAGTTCATTCGAGAACTTTTATGTCAGACCTTTGATAATAAAAGTTCTTATGAGATCTCCATTGTAGGAACATTAATTATAATAAAAGTTCTTACTTACAAACTTTTTATCCAGGACTTTTATTTAAAAGTTCTTCCAATAACTTTCTTATCGAGGACTTTTATTTAAAAGTTCTTTATTATAAAAGTTCTCTACGGAACTTTTTTAGTTTTTTTTTTATAATGAAAGTTTGAATCATTAAAGTTGTCAATTAATCTATAATCATTATAAAATATTTGTATTCAGGTAGTGTTACGCTTACAGTATTTATTAAAAGCCTATAACGCCTATAACGTTATTATAATTCTAACTCAGATCAATTAAAACTGCGTATCGCCGAATTAAAAGAATATTGTAAAAATTATGATAATCGAACCTTTGAATGGAATTCTGTAAATAATATCACTACCAATGATAAAACTTTATCACAGCGATGTGCATTTATAGTAGATAAAATAGATTTTATTCGCGAAGAAGTTGGGCGAAAAATAGATTTAAGTCTAAAATCTGTAGGACACACTAAAAGTCGACGTTCTATACCATGGGGAGCCCTGGCAAAAACAGCTAAGACCATCTTTGGGCTTTGTAGCGATAAATGCTTAGAAAAATCCGAATCTCTTATTAAAAATTATCTCGACGGGGGCGAAACTGCCTTGCCACAAAATACTAGAGTATTCAAAATATCACAGAATGTCAAGCCTGATCAAACTTTGCCACCACAAATAAAACCTCCAACTGATGTCTTTACAACAGGTATGATGGAGCTATTTCGTTTAGGCAATGTAGCCGAAATTGAATTGTTATTATCGCAATACATTTATGAATCTAATCTCATATTTGAAATACTACAACTAGCACGGTTAGGTCAACTTCATTCTAGTTTAATAAGTATTGATGAACTTCAAACACAATTAGTTGTTATCGCAAACCAATTAGAATCAAATACTCAGCTTCCATTTGATACTAGTCTTGATCACCTAGCAGAAACAATTAAATTGTCACAAATTATTATTTATTATGCCGATGGGAAAATTGTATTTAAAATAAACTTACCTGTAGTTTTAAAGGACCGGCTGATTTTATACCATATTCTTCCTTTGCCAATTTGCAATAATCAAACTTGTATATATATCAAGCCAAAATTTCACTATATCGCTGTAACAAATAATCATGAACGATATTCAACATTCGAAAAAATTGATCAGTTAAACTGTAAACGAAGCTCAAATTTCTTACTGTGATGAATTATATCCACTCCATGCTTACAGCAATTTGCAAGTTTGTGAGCTTTTACTATTGAAACAACAAAGAACTGTTCCTAGTAGTTGTAAAATCCTTTATAGCAGAATATCTAGTACTATTTTCTATAAACTTACAAATAAAAATAAATGGCTGTATATTTCACCTGGGGAAACCGTTTTCATAGCCTGCGGAGATCGCCCCGCAGAACGGATACAATTAGAAAATAATGGGATACTAAGTTTAAATTCTTCTTGTAGAGCTTACAGTGACCAAGATGTATTAATACCAGGAAAAGAAATTATTTCTGAAGGATATAATGATTTTATTGCTAATATCACTATGCCTGAACCAACATATTTAAGTTCAAGGTTTAATAACCACTTTTTAAATGCCTTTCACACACAAGCTCGTTCAATTAGTGATCTTTTAACTAACGGGAAGTCAACAAGACAACTCGAAGCAGAAGCCGATATTTTTCATGTACCATTTATACAAAGTATTTATGAATACGTTTTGTTAGGTCTCAGCGTAGCTAACCTAATAATAATTTTAGTAGTATTATATATAAACGATATATTACAGTATAATCGCTTAAGACGAGCACGAGCCAACAGGATTGGACAAGCCGTGCGCGCAGGAGAGGAAATACCTTTGTAAAATATTAAGTAACAAAATAACAAGTAGAAAGTAGAAATATATAAATATTTAAATATATATAAAAAAAAAAATCATGGTGAAGGACGACTAATATACGTATGATGTTATATCTGTAGTAATGTAATGAAACCTGTTTTAGCGCAAACGTAAAGATCATAGTGGCCGATTTCGAGTTTCTGCCGAAAGCTCACAGTGAATATGTCACTGTGTCGGGCTGCCTGTTGTCAACGCACAAAAATAATGACCCAGTGAAGCTATCGGGACATCCGATAGTAGTAACCACAAATTGTGCGCCACGACAGGCTACATCACAGGAACTCAAATCGCTCACCCGCCAGTGCATTAGATTTAAGGAAACAAAACCAGCGTTCGGCTCGTTATTAAATGAGTTGAATAAGGGACTGTGTCAAAAGGGACCCTCGACGATGAATTTATCCTCCATCTCAAAGTATATCCACAAAGGTTCAAGGAAACCCATCGTAGTGTTTTGGAACGGTAACCATGATCACAAAATATTGCAGCAAATTGGATTAAAAAATGTCTATAAATATTTGAATATGACCGCCTGGGATAACAACAATGACGGGCGGTTCAATTTGAAGTTGATAAACATGGTGACCGGAAAAATCTATTACGATGAGTTTTTAGGGGAAGTAAAAAAGGGGGGTAGGGAGCTGAACCTGCGGGAAGCTCACGACTTTACGTGTATAGAAACACACTCCCCCCATATGAACTTTCATGATCCGGTTTTTGACACGATTGCTTCTCGCTGTGTTTTGAACTATATTATTAGAAAGTTAAGGCCAATTAGATTTTATAGATTAATTAAGGACATGCCTAGTTTAAGAAAAAAGAAAAACAAAAAAAAGAAAAAAAAACATAACTAACATTACGAAATAAGTAGCATAAGTAATACTAACATTTAAATTCTAAAAAAAAAATTATGTTTTAATGTTCTAGGTGAATGGAAAACTTTCCTACCTACATTAGAATTAATACATTAGACATAATGAGTACGAGCAATCCCCGTGTAGTCTTTATGAAAAAAATCATAAATCTCGCTTTAAACAATTGCACTAACCATCTTGCACCCAGACACACATTAAATACCATAATAACTGAAGTAAATTCAGAGTTAATTATAAAATTTGATGATCATTATTTGAAAAGCATTGAAAAAGATATTACAAATTTAATGAGGGAACTTTATGGGTCCTTACGACCATACAACATCTCAATGGCACTCGTTATCGCCGCCATAGAGGGGGATAGCCTATTAGATTCGATTTTTGAACATGAAAATACGACAGATAAAGCAAAGTATTTTACTAGGGTACTGAGAATAGCATTTGAAAACTGCACTATTTATAAAAGAAGACGAACACTATGGGATATATTAGTAGAGGCTAATACAGTCAATTTTCCCAATAGTTTTCTTAAACGTACCGAAAAACAAGTTAAAACTACATTTAGAGATCGTTTTATCGCCGATAGAAACGTTAATGTTGATGCCGACGATTTCAGTAGTAATAATGATGGCGATATTGGTGAACAAAAACCCGATGCCGAACATTTCCAAAGCGGAAATATTGTCAACACTATTAAATTTCCAACTTTGGAAAAATCCGACACTGAAAGTCATGATCGAACTGAAGACCAAAATGTACTCGATTCCGATATGCTCCAACCCAAATACCGAAAACTCACATCAAGACAAGAATCTGTTCGATTCCTACATGATACTGTTGGGTCAAATATATTGGAAAACGAAGGACTGTTTGGAGAACACGCCGTTAAGTTGTATAACCAGTATATGGGAAGCAATTCCGCTTACCTCTCGGACATATGTGTCCCTGAGGGACGCGAGGAATTTACTAAGTTATATGCTGAAATCGACGTGGGACTCCAACAGTGTGACCAAACAACACGAGAACAGTTCCGGATCGTCTCGGAACACGGCGACCATGTCCACATCGTTCACGCCTGCACATATTCAAACGCAGCTTGTCGCTGTTCCTGGCTCCGTCGCAGCACCGTCTGGAGGACTCGGCGAAGATTTCGATATCGACGACGAGTTTTCGTCGCTGACTTCCAAGTTAACGACTGGGAAAATATCCTTAGATATTTCGCTACAGAAGGACACGCAATCAAAAACTTCAAAGGCGCATGTCCTTATGGAGGATTACGTTTACGAGCTGAAGATGTACAAGTAAGTTGTTCAACGATAATTTTTCGATTAACTTTTCGACTAACGTTATTAAATTATAGGAAGGAGGATATTCGCAACCTGGACAAATCACAATGGTACACCCGTGTCCACGTCAAAGCGGTGGGGACAGTGAAACAAGGGCATCCGACCAAGAAGAAACTGGACGGACTGGTTGGCGATCTTATGGCCGACTTGAAAACAAAATCAAATCTTCGCATGGAGAAGACATTCACCTATGGCCAAAAACATTAGACGATTTACTATTAACTTACCCGTGCTGCCCGCCAGACGCTTTTTTCAACATTAAAGAATTTTATAATAACCCTAAATTAAATTATTTGGACGATACGTCCAAAAAAGTTAGAGTCGCCCTGCGCAATTGGTGTGCCCGTATCGCCGAATGGTCAATATCGGATTTTGATAAATTTTACAACACCCCCGGCGTATTTCCCTATTTCAATGCTTACGCTCGTCAACACGATCAAGTGTATTACGACGTAAACCTTTCGGTAAAAATCGCTAACGACTTGCTAGAATTACAATTTCAAAACGATTCCGAAACAATTTCAAAATTCCTCAAGGACATTCACGATATATGCGATAAAAAAATACCGAAACGCAATTCGATGTGCGTAGTTAGTCCACCATCTGCCGGCAAAAATTATTTTTTCGACGCAATTGCGTCATTTTTTTTGAATTATGGTATGTTTGGCACCGCTAACAAAACAAACAACTTTTCGTGGGCAGATGGTGCCGGCAAACGCCTCGTGTTGTGGAACGAACCCAACTACGAAAATTATCATATTGAAAAATAAAAGAACTATTGGGTGGCGATACGACGCGCGTGCACGTTAAGTACAAGGGCGACCAACCTCTGCAGGGGCCTCCGATTTTTTTATTAACAAATAATTCTCTAAACATATGTTCGGATCCCGCGTTTGCGGACCGGTTAGTGACTTACGAATGGCGTGCAGCACCTTTTTTAAAATCATACGATAAAAAATTAAATCCCTTGTTCTTTCCTAAATTATTAAAAGATTGGAAAATATTAAATTATGAATAATAACTGTATTGTATATAATAAAATATTTATTTAACCACAACCATATGTATTTTTATTTATAAATATTAATGTTAATGTAAATACAATTGAAATAATTTTATTGGTGACCGTGCCTGTGACGGTGAGCTGTACGATAACTTTCGAGTGAAATTGATTGCTATGCTTGTTGGTTGACTCTGGCGATAAATTCGCCGTTGACGGTGGAATACTGTGTTTGAAAATATGTGTTGGCGTCCGTAGATTTGAGTTTAGTCACGTAGTGCCCGGATTCCATGGGTTCCAAATACGGTTTATCGTAATGGGTTAGGTTCATAGTACCATAATTATATGATAAGTGCATTTCGGTTTCGACATCCCACTGTACTTCTACGTCTGTAAACTTTTCAGGCCTTGTTTTTAAGTCGGATGTTGTAAGCCTTGGCACGGGAAAAACGCCAACGTGCATCGACGGTTGTAAACTCGTGTCGCCGGTGTCAAACATTCCTCGTTTTATGTATTGAGATTTTTCAATCGGCGTGGTATAAGCGGAACCGGTTCTTTTTGTCAACGCTTTCCATTCGTCCGATTCTATATCGATAGTGGGCATGAATATGCTGGAAGCTTCTCCCGTCGCTACATCCGAATCGATAGCGTTGTCTTGAACCCGTTTATTTTTACTCAACAACGCTATTTTATTTTTTTTAAAGCGGTGGCGTCTTCGCCGTAATATCCATTTAAGCGCATCTGAAACGGTTGTGTTAAGAGGCCAATTTTAGGTGAATAAGAATATTCAGCGATAACACGCCTAGTTGTGAACGAGGCGTCCGCTTTGGTTATGTATTGTGTCAAATCGGGCCATCCGATATCCTTATTTACGTCATTATGCGTCGCGACGGAACAATAATATCTATTGTTTATAAACGGCAAATAAAGAAACGAACACGGTAATCTTTGAAAACCTTTGTGTTCGACGTCTGGCCTATTGTCGATTGTACCGTAGGCGGCTTCAATAAATTTATTCATGTGGGTGATATCGTATTCTTCTGTACCTTGATTGACCATGGCGTCCGTGCCCGACCCGAATTTCATAGCTCTGTCGATTCCTCTAGTGCTCAGATTCAATCCTTTGGCAACCCCCAAATATTTATTTTGATTCAATGTCGCCAATGTCGTGGACGTTGCGTTTGTTTCAAAAGCGGTACGCGGATTTCTCATAATTATTTTCACCCGTACGTTATCGACTTGAAGTCCTCTTATGTCTTGTAACCAATGCCATTCCGCGGGAGACAAATACAAAAAAGGCAATTCCACGGGTATTGCCATTAAAGAGGTTGTTGTAAGATATGTAGTACCAGTTGGAGAAAGTCGGCTAATTTTCCATGCCAATCCGTAGGACAATAGGCTGTGATGTTTCCGAAATACGAGCTTATGTCCTCCCAAGTTGTTGAGTGGCCTAGGTATGACACAATTTTCAGTGCTAGGATTGCCAGTGTCTGGGTCACTACTACTACCGCCACCCGTCCCAGGTAATTCCATCCCATTGACCTTTGCCTTCTTGGCACTTCCGCTAGAGCTGTCTGCAGGTTCGCTCGTCGATCCCCGTTTGGTACCCGTCGGAACATCAGTCTCCATATGGTTATTAGCAGAAACCGGACGGATATTAGCAAAATCCGGATCAGCGCGAAGAACGTCTTCAGCGTGGAGAACGTCGGGTTCTGAAAATACGTCACTGTCCGTGTACGAGTTGTCGCGCTCGGCGTTGTCGGTATCCACTGAACGGACATATAAGACCCATTAGATTTTACAGACTAATTAAGGATATGCCTAGTTTAAGGAAAAAGAAAAACAAAAAAAAAAAGGAAAAGAGAAAAAAAATAACCTATAGTATAAGAGCTAACATTACGAATAAGTAAGCATAAGTGTCACTAACATTTAATTTTAAAAAATATATGTTTTAATGTTCTAGGTGAATGGAAAACTTTCCTACCTACATTAGAATTAATACATTAGACATTACAATGAGTACGAGCAATCCTCGTGTAGTCTTTATGAAACGAGTCGTAAATCTTGCTTTAAACAATTGCACCAACCCTCTTGCACCCAGACACACATTAAATACCATAATAACTGAAGTAAATTCAGATTTAATTATAAAATTTGATGACCATTATTTGAAAAGCATTGAAAAAGATATTACAAATTTAATGAGGGAACTTTATGGGTCCTTACGACCATACAATATCTCAATGGCACTCGTAATCGCTGCCATAGAGGGGGACAGCTTATTAGATTCGATTTTTGAACATGAAAATACGACAGATAAAGCAAAATATTTTACTAAGGTACTTAGAATAGCATTTGAAAACTGCACTATTTATAAAAGAAGACGATCACTTTGGGATATATTAGTAGAGGCTAATACAATCAATTTTCCCGATAGTTGAAAAAGAAAACTAAAAAAAGAAAAAAAAAACTGTAATATAAAAAACTAACATTATGAATAAGTAAGCATAAGTATCACTAACATTTAATTCTAAAAAATATATGTTTTAATGTTCTAGGTGAATGGAAAAACTTTCCTACCTACATTAGAATTAATACATTAGACATTACAATGAGTACGAGCAATCCCCGAGCAAATCCGAATCACTTATTAAAAGTTATCTCGACGGGGGCGAATCTGCTTTGCCACAAAACACTAGAGAATTCAAAATATCACAAAATATCAATCCTGATCAAACTTTACCAACACCACCACAAATAACACCCCCAGCTGACGTCTATACAACGGGTATGATGGAACTTTTTCGTTTAGGCAACGTCGCCGAAATTTAATTGTTATTATCTCAATACATTTACGAATCTAATCTCATATTTGAAATACTACAACTAGCACGGTTAGGTCAACTTCAGCTTAACTAGCTTAATAAGTATAGATGAACTTCAAACGCAACTAGTTGTCATCGCAAACCAATTAGAACCAAATACTCAGCTTGAACTATGCCCGAACCCAACACATTTAAGCTCAAGTTTTATTAAAATCGACATTTACCGGCGTGACCGCTGCACCTTATGCCGCCGTCGAATCTATAACTCAACGGGTACTGATTATTCGCACCGTGGGGTGCCTCGTACTTGGCCAAAAGGTCATCAAGAATATAAAAATGTAAAAAAATCACATTAAAATAATTGCATAAATAAATTATACTGAACTGTATACTATGTACTGACTAAACAAGTCAACAGGATGTTATGTCAACAAGGCCGAAAACCACGAAGAAGATTTTTTTTTAATTGAACTTTTTCTATTATACTAGGATATGCTAACTTTCTTTTTAAAAAACGTTTAATGTCTATTTTATCATATCGCTGATATACTAGAAGCTTATAAAGATGAATCAAACTTTGATCATGGAATAGATAGAAATAAATCACACACAGAAGATGAAGTCGTCTTAAATATAACCAGACAAAATTATTCCAATTATAATATAGATCTGAAATCGGGAAATATGCTTAACTTATTTGGACTCAGTAATAGATTAATATTTTCATTCATTGGTATAAGTTTTCCTAATCATTTTGACATAACAGTATGCTCAAATCGTAAACCTTGTGAGACAACATTATATTATTTAAAACGTCTCCAGAACAAGAAATTGTAAGAGAACTTGTTAGGAGTAAGATTTTAATTATATATATTTTTTTTAATTGAACTTTTTCAATTATACTGCGATATGACGGCACAACGGCCTGCCTTTGGCCTCGCGGTACGAGTGGGAGCGGACAACTCGGTCAGGTGCTCCACTCACCTTACTGCCTGCTGGAAGCCTGGCCCAACCTGCAACCACGGTTACCATCCATCATCAGGCCCCAGATCATCAGTCAGGACTGCGGGAAACGGACGCTGCTCCAACGCACCCCCAACACCCAGCTCCAGTTTCGGGACGCCACCGGGAGAAGTCTCAAAGACCCGGAGTATATGGGCGAGGACGGGACGGCCGATGGACAGCGGTAACTCCAGCCAACAACAACCGTCAGACTCGACGCGCGGCCCATAATGTGAGGGACTCGGAAGGGCAATTCACGCCGAGGAGAGGTTTGGAAGAAATTATCATTAGAAACAGAAAGCTGGAGGCAAATATGCTGGACGGTATGGTCTTAAAGGCCAAAACCACGAAGATTTTTTTTTAATTGAACTTTTTCAATTATACTAGGATATGCTAACTTTCTTATTAAAATCGTTTAATGTCTATTTTATCATATCGCTGATGTACTAGAAGCTCATAAAGATGAATCAAACTTTGATCATGGAATAGATAGAAATAAATTACACACAGAAGATGAAGTCGTCTTAAATATAATCAGACAAAATTATTCCAATTATAATATAGATCTGGAATCGGGAAATATGCTTAACTTTTTTGGACTCAGTAATAGATTAATATTTTCATTCATTGGTATAAGTTTTCCTAATCATTTTGACATAACAGTATGCTCAAATCGTAAACCGTGTGAGACAACATTATCTTATTTAAGACGTCTCCAGAACAAGAAATTGTAAGAGAACTCATTAGGAGTAATTTTAAATTATAAATATTTTTTTTAATTGAACTTTTTCAATTATACTACGATATGCTAACTTTCCGGTAGGAAGTGAGATACATAAGATGTCCATATAGGACAAACTATTTTTTTTGGTTAACGGCGTGGGACGAAGTGTTCCGGTTGTTATTGTTTTCCGTTTAGTATTATTTATAATAAACTTTTTTTTTTAATAATATTTTAATAAGTAATTACTTGAATTTATTGGTGGAAATACAACTCCACAACGAAACAGTACAACTTCACCAGCTACGCCGCCACCAAATTAATATAAACGATCAAAATATTTTTTAGTTGACAATTTGCATAACAGTATGCTCAAATCGTAAACCGTGTGAGACAACATTATCTTATTTAAAACGTCTCCAGAACAAGAAATTGTAAGAGAACTTGTTAGGAGTAAGTTTTTAATTATATATATTTTTTTTAATTGAACTTTTTCAATTATACTGCGATATGACGGCACAACGGTCTGCCTTTGGCCTCGCGGTACGAGTGGGAGCGGACAACTCGGTCAGGTGCTCCACTCACCTTACTGCCCGCTGGAAGCCTGGCCCAACCTGCAACCACGGTTACCATCCATCATCATTTTATATCACACACTACCATTACCTGTTAGCGAAAATGAAACTTAAATTAAATTGTATCAGAAAGTTCAACTTTCTTACTATGTAATGAATTATATCCACTCCATGCTTACAGCAATTTGCAAGTTTGTGAGCTTTTGCTATTAAAACAACAAAGAACTGTTCCTAGAAGTATGGGACAGGTACATTTTAATTAATTATTTTATTTGTTATTATTATTTATTTATTGTTGCTGTAACTTATTATTATTCCTATGACTTCAGAGACCTAGGAGACCAACCAAAAACCTTTGGACTGGTTCTTTTAAGGCAGGCACGCGCTCCTCTATTGTTTCCGCCGATGGAGAGTGCCAAATCGTCAACATCAATCTGCCGTCAATCTGCTATTATTTATTTATTATTACTTAGACTTCAGACAACTTCTAAAGTTAATCTAACTTGCCATACCGATCCCCTTTGCGGCGACTCGATCTCCTTCGTGTCCGACGATTCAGATTGTATAATCGTTTGCGATGAAAGGGAAAACGAAAGAAACCTACAGGTTAGGTTATTTATTATTTATTATAATATTATTTTAAGACACCCATCCCTTTATTAAGATGCGGGGGGGCGGAAAGAGTCAAACTGTGTACACAATAATGAAAGAAAAACGCGAAATAACTTTTTTGTAACTGTTTATGTTTTTTTTTATCGAATCGATTTCAAAACATTTGGTTTTCCTAAAGTTTACTATCTCCTCTATAGATGTGGGGGAGGGCTAAACGACGTTTTTTTATTGTCGGGTCCTCTGCCCAGCGAAGGCAGCAGTGGCGGTGTGTACATACCCGGGTACGGCAACCAGACCTTGGCTTTGGATTTTTACCCAGTGTCCTCGCAAAATTTAGTGGTGGACGACATGAGGAACGCGGCCCGGGACGAATTCCGTTCATCACGACCATGATAGCTTCTCCGACTTCTTTTCTTATCCGCTCCCCAGCCAAGCAGGGGACTAACAGCTTTTCAAAGAGCTAGCAGACCGGTTTACGTATGATTAGACGAGAAAAACCAAAACTTATCAAGAAAAACCAACGAATTTTTATTATATTATTTAATTATAATAAAATTATATTATAATGATTTAATCGAAAAAAACACGGGCAACAAAAATCCCAAAAAATATAACAATACACGGGCAACGGCCTGGTCAGGACAGCTAGTACATATTATAAACACGATCCCTGATGAAGAAATATTTGATTTTGGCATTAACTATTCACAACTCAATACAACAACTTGGAAAAAATAACATACATTAGGATCCACGCATTCAATGTAATCATTACATTTAAATATTTTATCCATCGATGGATACATGAACGAATTTCATTCAGAATTATTAATGCGCAAACGCCCTACAGTTTGACTTTTACTTTAGTAGTTCTACAATATTATTGCTGAAGTTGTTTCAGTAACGTTAACGCATCACATCATCACTACCTGGACGGGAAGGCCCCTGAACAGATTGAATGTAGATTAAAAAAAAAAAGTATTTCCAACAGCCTCACGAAAATTAAATTCAACTTTTGATAAAATCGATCAAGCAGAAT